AGTTCCACCGGTCAAGATCACAACACATACTGGGAAGATGGGATTTAAGTGACCAGAAGTATGTTCAAACTCACTGCCATTGAGTCAATTCTGACTCACAGTGACCCTGTAACACAGAGTCATACTGCCCTGGTGAGTTGTTCCTCAAATGTAGCTCTTTCAGGAAGTCAAAAACTTGATCCTTGGAGAGACTGGTAGTTTTGAACTGCTCACCATCACGGTTAGCAGCCAATGCATCTCCTTCATGAGAAAGAATAATAACCATTCTTAATTTTGTATTCATAAAGGAGTTTTAGTCTTTAGTCACCCAGTCTGCCTCAACTCAATTTATGAGTTGAGTTAAAAACTAAAGTGATTCCTTGGCTTGTCTAATCACTCCACCAGAACATCTCACTACAGAAAGTGACTCGTTCAGTCCTGTGTATCATCTAGATTGGAACTTGCTTGCAGTCAGAAGTCCGCTCTCTGGGTGCAGACTGGCCCAGGCTGGGGTGTGCTGTGGGTGGGCAACAGCCTTCCATGGGGAGAGGTCTTTTCTTTGTGGTACTGCCAGCCCTTCTCCCTGTCCTTGTTAACATGGGTTTCATCTCTGTCAGGTGTGGGGCTTGGGGAGTATGGAAGAGAGACTCAAGGTCAGGACATTTCTCCCCTGGCTTGAACTCTGGCGAGAGGGGTATTGTGCCTTCTTGGCCCAAGTGGTGTTTAGAACATGAGTTCCCAGCGTCCACTGTGGATGCTCACCTGCAAGTGCAGGCGCTTCTATGGACGCTGGTACTCGTAGACCTGATTCTGGCACATGCAACTGGGGAGAAGGAGAGTGTTTCTCTTAGTTCCTTACTTTTCTGGTGACAGGCAGTATGTAGATGTGTGTGTGTGTGTTGTGTGTGTTCACATACTCATGTGAAAACACCTAGGTGTGTATATGACAACAGATAGGTGTGTATGTCCATTTAAGATGACAAGGCGCTGGGCCGGAACAAGACATTACTTTGGGTGGTACGGTTTCTTGGGGCTCTGGGCTGCCAGCTTGAGTAGATGTATTCCATATTCGTGATCGTTTTGCTGGAGAAAATGTGGGGGTCTTGAAGGGGTTAGGATAGCTGAGTGGGGACATCCTGGGGAGTTCCTGAGAAGGATGCTGGAGATTTGGACCCAGTTGTGCTTCATACAGGAGCCCTGGTGGCATAGGGGTTATGTGTTGGGGTGCTAACCATAAGGTCAGCAGTTCAAAACTACCAGTCACTCCTCGGGAGAAAGACGGAGCTTTCTACTCCTATAAACAGTTACAGTTTTGGAAATCCACAGGGGCAGTTATACCGTGTCCTATAAAGTCACTACGACTCAGAATCAACTCAATGACAGTGAATGAGTGCTTTAGCTGCATCGTGATGACAGACACCCACCAGCTGCCAGCACAGCTTTGACAATAATACAAGACAATAATATGTTGTGCAGTTTTCACGCCTTGCACTTCTCAGCTGCTCACAGATCCCAGATTGCTACCTCCTCTTAACCACCCAGTCCTCATCCCTCCTCTCGGTTCCTTCCCTCCTACTTATTTACAGTTTCTCATAAGCAGCTGTTAAAAGAACAATTTATTGGGACGGAAGACACAAAACAAACCCCCCACCTTTCTCCCTTCTGTGTGCATTTGCTTTTCAGCTCTCTGTCTCATCAGCATGCCTTCTTGGGGCAATATGTAACTTCAGGTGGAAGGGACCCCTGTGGGCTTCATGGCCACACCTTGGCTTGGGAGCCTCCAGGTCAGCACTTTAAAACAACTGCCTGCTCCTCAGATGAAAGACGAGAAAGGTGCTTTCTTGGGGCTGTGAGCTGCCAACTTGAGTAGATGGATTCAACATTTGTCACGGTTTTGCTGGAGAAAATGTGGGGGAACGGGAAGGGGTTAGGGCAGCTGAGTAGGGACATCATGGGGAGTTCCTGAGAAGGAGGCTGGGGACTTGTACCTAGTACAGTCTCGGAAACCCATGGAACAGTTAGTCCTAGCCTGTCCTATAGGGTCGCTATAAGTTGACCTCTGCTCAATGGCGGTGGGAACCTACGATGCTAGCTATTGACATTTCCCCCGCCTTTTTGAATGTGAGGCATCGTATTACTTAATTGCCTTAAAGCCTCCATTGCTCTCTAAGAAAAACAGAGATAAAAATCCTTACCTCAAAGAATTGTTGTGAGCTCTCCATGAGGCAACATAGAAAGGCCGGGAATGTGAAAATAAGTCTTCAATAAATGCGATCGTTAGTTTCCATTGAGTCTACTGGGACTCCTAGGCTCCTCATGACAGAGTAGAACAGTCCCCGGAAGTCGTTGGTTGTAGCTCAGTGCTATCCAGGTGGCTTTCATGCACAGGGACGCTGTCCAACAGAACAAAGCGCCCCCGGTCCTTCCCCAGCCACCCACTGCTTCTGTTTTCCGCCGCGGTGTCAGTCCATCCATCTCCTGAGGGTTTTCTTCTTTTCGGTTGCCTACTCTCCCAAGCAGGATGTCTTTCCAGGGACTGCTGTCTCCTCTGACATCAGGCCACCCTTGCCATTAAGGAGCACACTGGTTGTCCTTCTCCAAGAAGGATTTGTTTGGTCTTCTGGAAGTCCATGCTCCTTTGAATATTCGTTGTCAGTCCCATCATTCAAACGAATCCCTTCTGTTTCTTCCATCTTCCTTATTTTTGGTGTGACGCTCACATATATGTGAGGCGATTAAAGATACCTTCACTTGGGTCAGGTTCACCTGGGTCCTCCAAGTGACATCCTTGCTTTTCGACACTTTAAAGAAGTCACTGCGGTGTCTCTGCCCCCAGGCAATGCCTCATGCTGCTGCCATGAGGGTTGACTGGGGAGCCGAGCAAGGGGAATTCCTGGCCATTTCCAGCCTCTTCTCCATGGATCACGACATGATCTGTCGGTCAAGTTGTGAGGATCTTGCCTTTCCTATCATTGAGTTGCAGGTTTTCATGGCTCGGTCCCCAGGTCTTTCTCCCAAAGAGCCATTGGTGGGTCCCAACCGTCCACCTGCAGGTTAGCAGCAAAGCACTTAACCATTGCTCCACCAGGGCTCCTGTCAATGAAACCCAAGCTTTCATATTAACAAAGAGGACCTCATCATTCAACAGCACAGGGACAATTAGTCACCATTCCAAAGCATATAGTCATAGGACAATCAGTCCTGCTATAACACCACTAGAGCTCCCTAAAACTCACCATGTTGCGTAAAACTGCATAGTAAAAACCACAGGGTTTACTGGTAAAAAAGGATTTAGGGGTGCACAACTTGAAAAGCTTTGCCAGTGGCGTATTAAAAAGACGGGAACGTGGTAAAAGGGATGGTACAGTTGGCCACGTGTTAACTGGTTAAGAAATAGAATAAAGATGGAGCATTCCCTTGGAAAAGGCCCAAAGGTTGCTTGTGGAAGGGAAGCTTGGACGGGTGGCACCTTGTGATTGTGGAGGGGTCGGGGAGGGTGATCTGGGTGATGAGCCGAGGTCGCTGGTAGATGTTTTGACTGTTCCCACAGGGGTTCGGTCCAGCTTGGTGCAGGTTCTCTGCACGCTCTGATCTTGTTGGGGAAGAAATGGAGCCCAGGCAAACCCAAAGTGTGCGCTGTGCTCAGATTGTTCCCTAGTGGGATCACGTTCACCGGGACAGCATGGCACCAAACATTTCCAAACAAATGTGACGGCAGCAGAATTCCCGGACTGAGCTAATGAGGAGCGCCCGGAAGAATGGATACGTGGATGGGCTG